TACATACATTATATGTGTATAAGCTACACTACGAGCAATGTGTAGTAGTTTGCATTCTGCGAGCTTCAAAGAGAATAGCGACGACGTGGCTGCATACACACACACACATATACACACGCATGCACGTGCACGCGCGAACATAGAGAGTTAGGCAGGCGTTCGAATCGATGAATATTGCCCATTAGATAGTGTCACGAGCATGTGGCTGTGCTGCTGCGCTTTGCTTATTTCAGTGGTTCAGAGAGCGCATATAGAGAGAACGAGAGAGGAATGGCGCAAAATTGCCAATATCTCTTGAGTGGATGTATTGGAGAGAGTAGACCTGGCTATTCAGGACGCCTCAGTGGATACCTAGGGGTGCATCTGTACTCCTGCTTGCTTGCAAGTGTAGCAAGAAATAGACTTCTCGTTGCACCAGCTCTACACTAGTTGCGGTTTGTATGGCAGTTAGTTGCATTTGTCTCAAGATTCATATCATGCTTAAACCTTATCTTATTATTACACTAGTTTCCTCAATAATTTAACATTGAAAACTTTCATGAAATAACCTTGAATGATTGAAACTCAAAAATAGTTTTTCATAGGATATTAACTTAGCTATAATAATATTGAAAAGGGCTCGGAAAACTAAAGGATGGTCGATAAACAGTCACGCGTTTACGATTGTTCAAAATGCATAAATTATCGAATTATGCGTAGTAACATTAGTTTCATAGCTCAAAAATAATAACCTGTAATTTATCGATCAGTGCGTATCCAGCGTCACGTACGCAGTGGCAATTGCTTTTTTTTCAACGATCGTAAAAAGTATCCTCGCTCTTGCACTGGCAACGAGTCGAATTGAAAAAAAAGGTTTACAAGTGCACTGAATAAGGCTAATTACCAGGCTTTAACTAATGCGTTTACCGCAAATTCCAATTAACTTTACGTCTGAATATAATACAGTCGTTGCATCGTATATCTGTGTGCATTTATACAGCGTGCCGAGTTGCCGAGAGTTACACATTTTCATAATCGGTCTTCCAAGAAATTATCATTTCTCGCGCGAAGCTACGTATGTCATCTGGCTTCTCGCATTTTTCGTAATGTGTATGTACTTAATAATCATCATGATAGTGCATTACAACGATAATGTCGCCATTAAAGTGTATTATTATTTCCTGACATGCCTAATACAATAACACATCACAGGTAATAAAGACAATGCACAAGACGTATGTATAAAACAGTCACTTTTCTAGTGCTTCTAGTTGGATGAGATTTTTCGATCTAACTTTTTATCACGATGTTCCTGAACTATACCATGTACTCAGTAGACAAAAGTTTATTACTCGCGCTACCATCAGCCTTATAGATAGTTTGTATGGCAAGAGGTAAACATTGGTTGATTTAGCAGTTATTATGCTGAGCGAAGCGAAGTCAAATACATGTATATATCCTTGCTGATCCACGTACATAGAACAAACTAATTTCAACATTGTCCTTCGGCAATGTTTTTTTGCTCTCACGCAGCTATACACAGCAACTAACCGTCCGAGCTGTATTAGTAAACTACTCTAAAGTACACCAGACGCTAAGTGTGACTACACAATGATGAAGCAAAAACGAGTCTTTTAAATATTTCACTCTCGGATAGTTCTATATTGTGTAGCTGTGTGGTTGATCAATGCAGTTTTTTGCGCCGTCGCAATGTTTGTGGGTCTGAATTTTAAAATTATATTGTACTAAGAAGGTTCGCTGTAATTTCATTAACATGTGCGCCTGATAGTAGTCCACCATCATTACGTCAATCAGATCAAAGGGATATTGAAATTTCAATGAATGCAGGAGCATTGGCATTGATAAAAAAATTGTCGAAGCTCTCCCAGATACATATATTAATTGTAATTCTATTATTTTCTAGTAGTATCCTAATTATTTATTACCGTAGTTAAAATTATATTAGAGAAGCTGATCAGTGAATGAATTTCAATTAAAAAATCAAATCCATCGCAAAAATAGAATGCACCGACAAAGAATAAAGCAACTCACAACAATTGGATTACGTCTCTAAAATGTTCGCCCTCGTACTCATAATGAAATAAATTATAATCTCAAACTGAGTCATCATACAAATTTTGTGCGGGCTTTGAGAAACAAACCTTTTTTAATTAGTTTCTAACTGCATGGCAAAGTTAGCTCAACTTGAAGCGCCTTCAAGTGCAAAGATAGACTTTATAACTATTACGCAACAAGTGAATTCGTATATATATCGAGAGAAAAGTTTCTAGGATTATCCTCATAAACTTGAACGAAATTCCGTTCAACATACTGGCATAAGCCTGCGGTCAACTAAAAAATTTGCAATTTATTCTTATTCACTATTGGGTGATCAATTTCGAAATTTTAACATAGTTTTACTTGGATTAAACTTCACCTTCATCAGTATTTGAAATGTACAAACTTGTGCCATTTACTCTCAAATAAACGTTTTCAGTTGGAATCACGAACAAAACGTCGAGTTTTTCCAAAATATTGAGAACAAGATGCTTTAAAAGATATTCTTTTAAAATAAGCGAGTATTATAATGCAGTGGTATAGTGTAAAATGGGAGAATCGCTGTCGACTTTGCATAGCCAGACGATGAGATATGCATAAGCACGTTTCAAGAAGAAAGTCAAACGCATCGCATGTGTACGGCGTTTTGACGCTTAAGTCAAGATGACGTTATGAATCCTCCCTAGACTCTCCCACACAAGCGCATAAACGGGGCACGGACAGAAGTCCACGCTTCAATCGCCATGCACACGGGATCGAAACTGGTGCGCGAGCGATTCGCAAGCCGGATATGGATATGAATTTGCATTGGACAAAGCGATCCTTGTGTATACACGTATATATGCACGTATGTATCGTGTGTGAGTAGGAAATTGTGTCGGCCAAGCGCATCTAATCTGCGAAGGGGGTACACACATAGAGAAGCCTGAGATTCAACCTAAGTGCAAGAACGCCAGCAAACGACGTTACGGGGTTGACGGACTCATTACTGCTATACATACATACGCCGGGTCGATGCTGCTCTGTGACGGTGAATGCTCTAGCCTGGTGCTTTCGCGCAAATAATGTGAATTCGGGGCTCCTATACAATGGACTTATGCAACGCAGATTCCTTTTAACCATTTCCGTGCATACATATATTGGCTGAATGCCAGAATCGTCTCGTTGCTATTGTTAATATTATAATTCAAAGAGAAAAAAGGATTAATTTGCTTGGTAAAGTTGTTGATTTGGAACTGAAGATTTAGCAAGTCATCAAGTGTTGAGAGTTTTTGTAAGGATCGATCAAACAACTTTCGATCAATCCATAATGTTCGATCAATCAAATGGTTATTTTAAATTATAGTAATGATATTTTAATTTATAAGAGCTCTTTTTTTTCTTTCGGGTTAGCTATCCAAAGGTAATCAAAACACGATATTATTTATGTTCATATGAAAAATTCTAAAATTTGTAAAAAAACTTCGAATAACCCTAGATAGCCCCTGTTTTCTGTCAAAAATTGTAGTTTTTGTATACGAAAATAAAAAATATTGTGTACCTATTACACTGAATAGTCACTTCGAATATGCACATTTTACGTTGAGTGTTTTTGTAATCAGAATACGAAAATTTTTCATAAAACAGTACACATCACAAGCATATAATATACACCATATTAAATTATTAATTGTGTCGACGTTGAAAAGATATAATATAGATCAATAAAAGTAAATAATTGAAACACTCATTAATTAATAATAATAGCATCGATAAAAAAATGAATGTTCGCAAATCATTAAAATCAATACAACATAAGTATACGTAAGTGTAAATTCGTGTATATGGTCAAATCTCAAAATAAAATTCCGTTTCGTTAACAAAAAAAGGTAAAATTTTTTTTTGCGTGCCCAGCGGCCCGGACCCCCGCAAATTGTTCATAGGACCTCCAGGAGTGAAAAAAAACGCGTGAACATGAAATTTGAAAATAGTTAATTTTTTTTGGGGCACTTTTGTGTTTTAGACGCCGAAAAGTCATCTTTTCACGCAAATACGACTTATTACTCGATTTCCGAGTCGTTGAAAAAGTATCAAAACTCATCTAAAATTTTTAACTGACCACTGTATTCGATAGGAAATTTCCTCAGCTTTCCGATGATACTATTCGATTTTCCGAAATATCCAATTTTCGCTGCGAAAATGGCCATCAAACATTGAGGGCTATGTATGTCGAAAAATTCAGTACGAAAAAAGTGAAATTTTTGTATAATTGTTGATTTTTCCTTGTGAAAAAGATTTTTTTCGGAAAATCTAACTGCACCATGAGAAAGCTAAGGAAATTTCCTATCGAAAGCATATCTTCATTTATTTTTTGAGCCGAATTACTAGCGAATTTCGATTGTAGCGAGCCGTGCAACGCTAAAAACCTCAAGACCGCTCTGAAAACTGAAAACGGAGAACAGGGCAGTCAAAATACGCTTGTATAGGATTGTAATTCGGCTCAAAAAATAAATGAAGATATGCTTTCGATAGGAAATTTCCTTAGCTTTCTCATGGTGCAGTTAGATTTTCCGAAAAATCTCATTTTCACAAGGAAAAATCAACAGTTATACAAAAATTTCACTTTTTCCGTACTGAATTTTTCGACATACATAGCCCTCAATGTTTGATGGCGATTTTCGAGGTAAAAATTGGACATTTCGGAAAATCGAATAGTACCATCGGAAAGCTGAGGAAATTTTCTATCGAATGCAGTAGTCAGTTAAATTTGTCAGATGAGTTTTGATACTTTTTTAACGACTTGGAAATAGAGTAATAAGCCGTATTTGCGTAAAAAGATGACTTTTCGGCGTCTAAAACACAAAAGTGCCCCAAAAAAAATGTACTATTTTCAAATTTCATTTCGCATTCGATATCAAACGTATATACGTAAAGCGATTTCCACATTGGGATATATTGAATCTAATTTATTATTTTTGATCTACTTTAACAGCTCGGTCGGTGTAAATTTTTGTTTAGATATTTCATTAGCACTACATTGTGCTTTTAAATGAATGCATTCCTTCACAAAATTTAAATCTAAATCGTCAGGATAATTTTCTATTAAATGATTAGCTTTTACTTGAATCTCATCATTGTTTATTTGCTGTAATTTTACCAAAAATTCAAATTTTGAGGCCAATTCTGCATATGACGTACGGCGACCTGTCAATTCAACAATCAAACTGTCCAAAATGCAATAGTAAATGTTAATCCTAAAGTGATCTCGAGATGTAAACGAATGTGCTTTAGTAGCTGAATCATCGAAATGAATTTTTTGTTTTTTTATTCTTTTTAAGTCTTTATCGTATTCTTTGTTTTCACTTATTAATAGAGCTTGATTTTCAAAATTATTAAATGACTCTTCACTCCTTATATCATTTAACAATTGAATCAAACCATCTTATAACATGACTACAGATGAAATGTCTATATTTGGATCTTGTAATTTTTTACTCACACCATTAATTCGTTGCAACAAAAATTCCCATACGCACGAAAATAAAGCAGTTTCAAGTGTTCGTAATTGCTTTAAAATACCTTCAGCTTGCAATTTCACAATAGGTTTTTGAGTAGAATCATTTGAAATTTTGATTAAAGCTTGATTTATTGGCTTCCACAAAAAAAGTAAACTTTCACACAAATCATGTCGAGCAGACCATCTTGTTCCAGATAATGTTTTAATTGTTTTAATTCTTCTTGTATTCAAATTATTTATTTCTAGATTTTTCTTGTATAGATCACATTCATTTTTTAATATTTCAGATCGGTGAGTTGATAAATTAAAAATGTTCTTGAGTTCTTGGAATAAATTAAAAAATAGACAACTTTCTTCGCAAATTTCTGCCGCACAAATGCCAACTAAATTTAAAGAATGCGCTGAACAAGGTATATATACAGCGTGAGGACACTTTTTTCTTATTTCCGCTTGACCGCCTTTGTTTATTCCAGACATATTCGCAGCGTGATCATAAGATTGACCACGACAATTTTTGATATCAATTTGTAGTTCCTCTAATGTTTTCATAATAGCATTTGCTACATCTATGCCTTTATGACCAACATTAGGTAAAAATGTCAAAAATCTTTCTACTGGGGAGCCACTTGAATCCACATATCGCAAAATAAATGTGAGTTGATCTACGTGTGACAAATCTGGTGTAAAATCAACAATTATCGAATAATATTTTGAAGCCTTAACTTCTGTAACTATAGTTTTTGAAACTTCATCAGCAATAATTTGTACAAATTCGTCACATATGGTCGAGGATAGATATCTCGTGCCTCCTTTACCCGGATTTCCATATTCAGAAATGTGCGTAGCTAAAAAATCATCGTATATCGCAATTAATTCGAGGGACATCATGTAGTTCCCATTATGAGGATTTCCAAATTGCTCTACATGACCTCTGAGTGATAGGCCTCGAGATGAAAGAGCTTTAATCACATTCACGATTCTCTGAAGTACACTACGCCAATAAGTACTTTCGTCTTCGATTTTCTCCAATAATTTTGCGTCAACTCGATTCGTTTTATTTCCTCGTAGTTTCATAGCTATTAAGGCATTTTTATGAGACTGACTATTTTCGTGCTGACCAATTCTCACTTTATTTTTCCAGTCGTCGAAACCTTGTTTCTGTGATCCAAATTGAGTTGATGTTCTATCAAGCAGCACACACGGCCCACAAAATACTTTCCCAGTACTTTCTGAGTATATTAGCCACTTACGATGCACATTTTCGCCGTTGGGTAGAGTTGTTTCGAAATCAGCTTTCGAAAAATAACGTGGCCCTGTTGCATACTCGCGCTTACTTTTTTTAAAATCACTATTCATATTTTGAGTAAAACCATTTGTCACGATATGATCTATGGTTGCGTCATTTATTACCCACAGAACCGGATCACTACTCACACTGACTGAATCACATGGTTCACGAATTATATGCTGATCGTGCAGCACCTTGTCTGTGTCGTCAATTGATCGAATTTCTTCTATCTCCATTGCTTCGTCACAAATATTTTTACACTGCAACATACTGCTGGCACCATTGTTAGAATCATCTTCGTTATTATCGTTCTTGTGAGTGTTAGTTTTAAACAGTTTGTCTATTTTCGGTGTTTTAGCGATTATTTCTTTATACTTCTCTTCTTTTCTTGCAGCTATTTTTCCATATTCACATCCACTCGATTTTTTTCTGACACTCATTTTATAAATGTTATAAGTAATATCCCACTATAATAATAAAAATTATTTTGACACCAATTCTGCATAAGAATAGCTTATTTATTAGCGATCTGTGCTGCTGCAAAAGTCGCTGCACACTGACTAGTGTTCAATCGTGTCACTGTATCGAAACGAGTGAGCAAAATGTAAACATTAAGCATATCATATTTTGGCCAATGATGTTGCACGCGAGTGTATAATATTCTAAGTATTCCGCGCCTCCGCGAAAAAAGATCGCATACTCGCAGAGACCGCGGTCTTTAAGCCGAATTTTCACGCGCGCGGTCTTTCAGCCGAAGCAGCCGCGCGCAGTCTGCGACGACTCTAAAGTCGTTGACTCCACTACTCTCACTACTAGATATCCCTTGGCCCAGTAGAGACGCATCGAGTCCTATCGTTCTAAAGTTATCTTTCGAGTTATTTTCAATAAAGTTTTTCTTAATACATCGAGTCTCGGGCTCAAGAGTTTATTAAATAAATACAATTACGTTCAACATAAATTGCCTCTTTTTCTCACATTATTGCATACCTGCTTAAACCTAATTCCACCACTCCAATAGCAACAAAAAAAGTTGCTGGTTTGGCAACTTCATTACCATCAGAAAGGATTTTTTCTCAAGCAGGATTAATTAAAACTCGAATCTGCAGTCATTTAGATCCAGAAAATTTAAATATTATGGTATTTCTACATTCATGCGAGCTGCAAGATTGGATTACAGTTTAAGGACCGATAAGGATTGCATCAATTTTTGAAGACGAAGTGGAAACTCCCAAGCACGACGCAAGGTACTGCGTGAAACACGTCAACTAGGAAAAGTACATTGAGTTACTGCTCTAGTCGGCTGTTGCAGCCTTGACAAGCCTTGACATTTCTATAAAATTCACTTACCAGATGATCTCATTATGGTTGATTTGTTTAATCCGTTTTATTTGGTCGAAGCCTTCTGTCAAAATTATTACAAAAAATGTGATAGGCTGGGGTATTTAAGAAGAGATAATCGAGGTATAATTTGAATTTTTTTACTGTTTTAGATATATTATATATCGCCACGAAAAATCTCTAATGAAATAATTTTCATTTCGAATAACAGATTAACCGGAGCCAGTTAGATACTCTGTAAATAACGATATGGTACGTTCTCAAATTTACATTTTAATTTTGAACATTGATTTCTCATGATTGGCACTTATAGGTTTATCTTGGATGTGGCAGAGGGCAAATTCAATCGTGGACACTGATTTTGAGAAAAAAACTAACTATATTTGCTAGGGAAGTAGCCTATAAAATATGGGGAGAAGAATTAGATAATATTGCTCTAAAATTAAATAGAAGATATTACCAGTTTCCTGGGAGAAATCCACGCTCTCTAGCACCACCTAGATTAGTTCAACTTTGACAATAAAGCTTATATTTTTTGCATATTGATTTATATACTTTGAAATTTAATTGAAATGCAATTGCCAAATCATTTTTTACATGTAAAAGCGGACACACGTACCCTGTGCGTGGATATATTTTGTCCAGTGGAACACGGATTTATCGGTATGGACGCGCTGAAACCACCGAAGAGGCACCTCTGCGCAAGCAACGTGCCGAAGAACGGCAACCGCAGGAACGCGCCCACGTCACTGCGGAGGTCCGTCCTCACGAGCGCCCGGACGAGGAGCAGCGGAGAAGCGACCAGGCCCGAGCCGCCGAGGAAGCTCGCCAGCGCGAACGCCTGGAACAGGAACGCCACGAGCGGGCCGTGGCCGCCGCCCGTCGCGTCGCCGCCCAACAGGAAATATACTGGACCATGCGGCTCGACCTGGCCAGGCAGGGCACCAAATCTAAGGCTGGCCAGCCGGCTCGCACAGCCACGCCACCGCCACGACAAGTCGCACCGGCTCGGTACGAAGACAAGGGAGGAGAACCTTGGTGGGAGGTGGAATACCAGGCTTCCCTCCGAGAAACCGAGCCGAAACGACGAGGCGCCGTGTTCGACGGACGACACATGCCGCGTGACGCTCGGGTGGAGCCACTGAAAGGCGGCTGCTTCATCTGCTGGAGTACGGCTCATGGATGGCGAGCGTGCCAGCAAACACCCGAGCACGTCTACTGCTGGAACTGCGGCCGCCGAGACGTCAACACGCCGTGTTGACAAGTTGTAAGTTTCAGCTACCTCGTCCGCTGGGCCCTCACGGACCCCGGCTTCGATCCGGCCATCGTCACCACCGCGGCAGGCCCTGCCATCGAACCCCCACCTCACGTCGAGGAAAGGGCCCTCGTGGCACAGGCCGTCGCCGTACAGCCGAACGCCGCAATGCCCCCCGCCGTACAAGTCCTCGCACTGCCCGCTCAACCAGCTGGCCGCAAATCTAGGCGATGTGAGTCGGGAGGTCCGAGAGGAAGTCATGCGGGCAGCCGTAAGGCCTCCGAGACGTCCCAACGCAGGTAAGTCAGAGGGGCCCCCCTCCAAAAGACGTGCGGCCGCGACCCCGTCCGATGGAGAGCCCGAACAGGTGGATAATCAGGTATGTTTTTTGTCGCAGGAAAAGAGTAAGAAGAAGAAGCTAGGCGACCCCGCTGCACCGGTGAGTCACCCTCCTAGCTTCTCAAGCTCAATGGCAGCGCCGTAAGCGGCGAAGGTAAGCAATTGCACTGAGCTTTACCTCGAGCTTGCGCGACAACTCCTTTCCTTGACGCGACCGTGGTAGGTCGCGGGTAAGGGAGGGGGTGTGACGTTGTGCCACTGCAAACGTCGTCGCGTCGGCTGCGAGGGTTGGACGATTGATAAGGTTGGCGACGCCAATAATAATTGCGTGGTATTTTTGCAGGTACGCGCGTACAAAGGAGCGAAGGTAGAGCCCGACTCGCGACCGCAAAGGCGCGCGAACGTAAACATCGCCGTGTTTACGTTCGCCTGGCCCGCGCAGCGAAGTCGGAGCTGCTACAGAGACGAGAGATAGGCAAGACGACACGAAGATCCTCGCGGCCGGTGCGTGCCAATTAGCAGACGAACGCACACTTGTATTTCGACCGTTGAGCCGTGTAGAGCCGAGTACTTGCGAGCCTTTTTGAGTCGTTCTGATTGTTGAGTAGTTTTGTGTGGAGTAATTGTAGTAGAGCGTGTGTGAGGAGTGTGCAGTGAGTGAGTTGTGAGTGCAGGTTGGTTTTGGTGCGTGTTGGTGAAAGCGAGGAGTTGGTGGCCACGTGCTCGAGTGTGTGTGCTGGCGAGACGTGCGGCGCACCAAACCGACACCAACGCGACGTAGTTCGACCTTCCGGCCCGTCCCCGTTTACGTCTGTGGCCAACAGACGACCGTGAGGAAGACAGCAGCAACTCCTAGGACCCCGGCGACGCGGAGTCTACCCGTGTGGTCGCGAGCCTCGAGAGCGAGGAATATCGTGAGTAGGTTTTTGGTATTACCGCGCTCGCGCCGACCCTCCAAACGGCAACGCAGCTCGCGTCCGCGACCAGGTGTGATTGAGAGCGTGATAGCTTCGGCTATGTGTGGATGAGTGTTCAGAGTAGCGTCAATAAAGGAGTATTTGTTTCAATTGAAATCCACGGTTTGATTATTTACAAGACCCGTCGTTTTCCCTTCCTCTCTCTCTCGCGAATTTTCTCGTTTACAGGTATTTTTCTAGGTGCAGTGTTGCAGTTGCAGGAGTCCCCGCTCGATACCTGTCGACGTCCCCTCCAGGAGGAGAGTCGTACCCACGACCCAGAGGTAGTATTTCGCGTTCTTTCCCACCCTTATAGAGCTGGAGGACGACGGGCAGTCGCTCGTCTGGCGCGTCGGATACCGACAAAGTCGGCCAGGCAGTGAGAACGCCTTGTGTACGGTGGACACGGGGAGTCGACCGTCACAATATATAAACATACGACGTTCCACGTTCCAGTGAAAAAAATATATCTGCGTCAGTGTAGAAATATGCAGGCGCATACATACAGACAAACTAGATATCAAAATTCGTATTATTAATGAATTAATAGAGAAATCATTCGACGACGCTTTTTACGAATCATTTACGATAACCTCTTTTTTGTATTTTCTAGTTCTGGTCAAAGATTTCATTGAGCAGTATCAAAAATATAGAACTTATTCCCCATACGAAAAAAAGCGCTTGATGGTTAAGGCAGTCCGAACCCTTACGAACGCAATCAGAGATGCAAAGAATAATACAATAAAGATGTTAGAAAATCAAGTCAATCAAAGACCCAACCGACGAAATGTTCTGTTATTCAATTAAATTACTAAAATTATCATATAATAATTAATATAATTGTCTAAAGAGCTTCGTTTTGTACAACTTGTGTCAGACCGAGTGCACGTTGAGCAGAGAGAGCGCGGCGTGGATGAGGCGAATTACATGGCGCAAGAGTCGTCTCTCTCTCTCTCTCTCTCTCTCATGAGTGCACCGAGTCTGACACTGTTCTTATTATTCAAGCACGTATGCTCGCTTTTATTATAATGTGTTACGATTAATGAGGAAATTAATTGATCTTAAAGTTCGGAGATAAACATCTCCTCAAATAACTGACTATTCGTCAAGAGAACTTTAGAAAATCTTCATGAAGGCTTCGAAAGTTAAAAATTAGCAGTCAAGGAGCTAGTACTTGTATCAAAATTTCCTGTTACCCACTTGTGAGTTCGATTAATTTATGTATACGCCACCTGTTGGCGATTTATGAAGATAAAAACTTGCTCGGAAGTATCTAGGAAGCTTTTTGAATGTTTCACTGAAACTTTCGAAATAACCTTTCGGAAAACTTTCATAGAAACTTCCAAGAAAGTTTCCTGAAAGCTTTAATGAAACGATCACTTATGAATCTATGAAACCATCCTAGCAAACTTTCAGAAAACTTTCAAGAAGCTTCCATGGAATATTTCTGGAAAGTCTCCTGAAAGTTTCCGTAAAGCTTCCTTCAAGCTTTTATAGATGCTTCTAGAATGGTTTCATGGAAGCATCCCGGGAAGGATTAGGGAAGCTTCCC